CCTTCTCAGCACGTATGCCGTATTCTGTTCAAGATTGATGGACTGACCACATCGACTCAAGGTTGAGGGACTGATTACCTCATTCTCCTCCTGTTCTTCAAGATTCTCCTTTGTATGGACTGATGAAGCCACTGTGTGGCGAAACGTTTCCTCAATAAAGATACCCAAGAGTTGCAAATGTGTCTAATTTATCAACATGTCGGTTCTCTGAACCATTCATCTACAAAGCTCTAGTTACTTAAATTAATAATAACTAATAATAATAATAATTATTTTTATTATTATAACGAACGCCGCCAACTCAGTGCACTGTTTACCTCGCTGTTGGAGCACTTCTCTCTGGCTTTGCTTACATTTTTAAGTCATTTGGCCAAATTTTGTTTTTCTAAGCATGGGTCCTAAGAAAGTAAGTGTAAAGGACACTGCTGAGAAGAAAAAGAGAATGATTTCCATGAAAGCATGAAGTCATAGATAAACAAGCGAGGTGTCCAGATTTTGGGTTGAGGGGGAGGGGGAGCTGGCTCATAACTCAAATGCTGGCTTGTAACTCAGAGAAAAAAATTGACCCAGTACCGGCTTGTATCTCAAAAAACTCGTATGTTGGGACACTCGTAAGTCAAGGTTCCACTGTATTTTGAAAAATAAAAAAAAAAACATTTTTTTGTGTAACCCTTTGACTGTTGCTGCCCCTTTCTGAAACTGTCATTCTATGTCGATAAATTTTTGGAAAAAACAAAAAATATTTTTTCTTATGAAATGATAGAGAATCTTTTCCCGATGGTAATGACACCAAAAGTACGAAATTTGGTCGAAAGCTCACGGAATTACGCTCCCGCGAAGTTAGCGGTCTCGGCGACATATACGTATTGGCGATTTCGCCGACTTTGAGCACTATTTTTAGCCAATTCCGTTGTTCCAGTTGACCAAACTCATAGCTATTTCTTTAGAACTCCATTTTATTCATCAGTTGAGTACAAGAAACCGCCCATTTACCGATTTGAACTACCCAATATAGTGGTCAGAAATTGGCAATTTGGCCAATTTCACGCAAATTAAAAAATATGCCAATTTCAAAATAGGGCCCAGAATAAACAATGTAGACATTCTTGGCACTAAAATAACATATCCTCTGTTCATTAGTCACGTCTCTAGGCCTCTCTTATATTACTATTGCTTTCTATTTTGATTTTTATACAAAAAAATACAAAATTTACTGTTATGCAGACTACTGCATTATTGTAAAAATGGTATAAATAATATCAGTGCACTAGTGAAAGAATATTAGACTCCCCAGTTGATGTGTATTGGACGTGTGGTGTGATTTGCTTACTCCTGAACATTGGTAAAAATCGAACATTTCCGCTACTTTGAGCTCAATTTCAAGGTAGTTTTCATCGTGAAAGTAATCAAAATCATCTCTATTTCTGTAATATGTTTTCCATTTTATCACCTGAGACCAAGAAAACGAGAATACAACGATAAATACTATACGAAAATACACCTCAAAGTCGACGTTTTAATCCAAAAAAACGGTCAGTTGTTTTTTTCTCATTACACACTGCGTACTGCAGGATTTTTTTATGTGGTGCACACTGACCACATAGATCCATTCTCTCACATGTGGGCCTACCAGCTTTCTCCCGCTTCATTTAAAGCCGCTAGTATATATAAGACGTAAACAGTCAAAGGGTTAATGAAGAGGACTTTGTTTTTTTACACAAAGTAATGTAAAAAAAAAAAATTCTTGAGTAAGTACTTAAGAGATGTAAAGCCGCAAAGTTGTCGCTTGTCACTCATCTGATGGCAACGTGAAGCGCTGCCACTTTCAGATGTGTTGCCGATATACCTTTTTTTCTCATTTTTTTAATACGTATAGTTTTTATGTTCTGATAATGACAATTTGTAGTAGTTCTACTACTACTACTACTACTACTACTACTACTACTACTACTACTACTACTACTACTACTACTACTACTACTACTACTAACTACTACTACTACTACTACTACTACTACTACTACTACTACTACTACTACTACTACTACTACTACTACTACTACTACTACTACTACTACTACTACTACTACTACTACTAAGTTTCCTTGAAGCTTGATATAAGTGTGTGTCACTTATCTCTTCACTCCACTGTTGACACTAATGAGTGTCATCTTATCACCCCACAAATGACAGTGGTGACATTTGATGAGCATGTCTTATCTCTCTGCGAATGACAGTGGTGACATTTGATGACCCTTCAATTTATTTGTTTTCACTCTTGCACATAAACATGTCTGTCTGTCTGTGTCTGTCTATCTGTCTGTCTCATAGTTGCTCATGAACCAGCTGGTATTACACACGATCACTTTCTACAAGCTCAGTATAGTACTTTGTCTGGATTTTTTAGGTTATCATAGGTAATTTACACTATGTATAATTGTATTTACTATGTGTTCTTGTGAGATAGAGACAGATGAAGAGACAGACATAGCTAGAGATAGATACAGACAGACAGAGATACAGACAGCCAATCTGCCAGCCAGCTGGCCAGCCAGCCTGCTGAAATTACAGTTCCAGAATTGTTTCTTTTTACTTAGGACATATGTTATGGTACATTCTGGCAGGATGAAACTTTCCTCTTAAAAGTCGTGTTAATACGACATGACATCAGTGAATCCTTAGTGTTTGTTGTGCAGTTTGTTCTTTCTGGTGCTCAGTGGAACTGGTGCTCCCACAGGGTACAGCACACATTGAGGGTTAAGACCCATTCTATGCTGACCAGGCATCTTAGGCCAATCGTGCCAAATTTGGAGGCAGGAAAATTAAAATGTAGGTCTACGTTTGGAGCGCTAGCGGTAAGAACATAGATCTACATTTGGACAGATAAAGCATTAAAGAGAGTAATTTTCTGTGTGTGATAAGACCAAAAAAAAAAAAAAATTAGGGTCAGTACTTATTGAGATAAATGGCACAAAGTTGGCACTGGATGCTCACCTGATGGCAACATGGAGTCCTGCCGCTTGTAGAAGTCTTCCCAATATAACTTTTTTTCTCTATTTTTTTTTATATAATTTTTATAATCTGATAATTACAGTTTGTAGTAGTTCTTGTTTCATATAAAACTGGATAGTACACTAGGGAAAGGAAATTAATTGAAGATTATTGTTTGTTACCTCAGTATATTTTGTTACTACTCATACAGCTACACTATTTTGTTACTACTCATACAGCTACACTATTTTGTTACTGCTCATACAGCTACACTATTTTGTTACTACTCATACACCTACACTATTTTGTTACTGCTCATACAGCTACACTATTTTGTTACTACTCATACACCTACACTATTTTGTTACTACTCATATACCTACACTATTTTGTTACTACTCATACACCTACACTATTTTGTTACTACTCATACACCTACACTATTTTGTTACTGCTCATACAGCTACACTATTTTGTTACTGCTCATACACCTACACTATTTTGTTACTGCTCATACAGCTACACTATTTTGTTACTACTCATACACCTACACTATTTTGTTACTACTCATACACCTACACTATTTTGTTACTACTCATACACCTACACTATTTTGTTACTGCTCATACACCTACACTATTTTGTTACTGCTCATACAGCTACACTATTTTGTTACTGCTCATACACCTACACTATTTTGTTACTACTCATACACCTACACTATTTTGTTACTACTCATACACCTACACTATTTTGTTACTACTCATACACCTACACTATTTTGTTACTGCTCATACACCTACACTATTTTGTTACTGCTCATACAGCTACACTATTTTGTTACTGCTCATACACCTACACTATTTTGTTACTGCTCATACAGCTACACTATTTTGTTACTACTCATACACCTACACTATTTTGTTACTGCTCATACAGCTACACTATTTTGTTACTTGCTCATACACCTACACTATTTTGTTACTGCTCATACAGCTACACTATTTTGTTACTACTCATACACCTACACTATTTTGTTACTACTCATACACCTACACTATTTTGTTACTACTCATACACCTACACTATTTTGTTTACTGCTCATACACCTACACTATTTTGTTACTGCTCATACAGCTACACTATTTTGTTACTGCTCATACACCTACACTATTTTGTTACTACTCATACACCTACACTATTTTGTTACTACTCATACACCTACACTATTTTGTTACTGCTCATACAGCTACACTATTTTGTTACTATTCATACACCTACACTATTTTGTTACTGCTCATACAGCTACACTATTTTGTTACTACTCATACAGCTACACTATTTTGTTACTACTCATACAGCTACACTATTTTGTTACTACTCGTACAGCTACACTATTTTGTTACTACTCATACACCTACACTATTTTGTTACTATTCATACACCTACACTATTTTGTTACTATTCATACACCTACACTATTTTGTTACTATTCATACACCTACACTATTTTGTTACTACTCATACAGCTACACTATTTTGTTACTACTCATACAGCTACACTATTTTGTTACTACTCATACAGCTACACTATTTTGTTACTACTCATACACCTACACTATTTTGTTACTACTCATACAGCTACACTATTTTGTTACTATTCATACACCTACACTATTTTGTTACTATTCATACACCTACACTATTTTGTTACTACTCATACACCTACACTATTTTGTTACTACTCATACAGCTACACTATTTTGTTACTATTCATACACCTACACTATTTTGTTACTATTCATACACCTACACTATTTTGTTACTACTCATACACCTACACTATTTTGTTACTACTCATACAGCTACACTATTTTGTTACTACTCATACAGCTACACTATTTTGTTACTACTCATACAGCTACACTATTTTGTTACTACTCATACACCTACAGTATTTTGAAAGTGTTGTCTTTTCATCATTATTTATTTGTTTTTTTTCACATCAGTCTTTTTTTATTCACGAAGGTTGAGTGGCCTAAAAAATGGAAATACATCACCATCACTTATTCAATAGATGTTCTGCCACAAATCCATGGACATCACAATTCAGATGACACTTCGATCCACAACAGCCCCACCTCTCCATTAGAGTGTACGTACTATACCTTCCACTTGCTCATGAAACTGGCTTCATTAAATCCTTCCATACCAGGATTGTCAGAGTATCCATGGTTAAGCAGACATTTCAGTAGTAAAGAGGACAGTTCACACAGGAAGCTAAGAGACATGTACCTATTTTTCTTAGATAAATTGTGTCATAAATTTAACTGTAAATTTGCTTATGTATTTTTATACTTAAATCTATATGACTTATTCATTAATAATTGAACAATAGGGATATGAATATGTTGTTCCACAAATATTATCTTAATGCATTATTGTAGTAGACATATTGTCTTCACTAAACTGTGACCTGAGACTGCTATTAACTGTTAAGCTGCTGAGAAATATCTATTCCAACCTTCAGTATATGTCAGTTTTTTATTACCCTTATAATTCTGAACATCCTCACATACAAAGGCAGCTGCTTGTGGTGGTGCAATGAAAATTATTTAAAAGTGACTTGAGATTGTGAATCTCTTCAACCTGGTACATGTAAATTCATTAAACCATATTTACATGATACAGTAGCTGTAATTTTTTCGTTGTATTCACTCCCTGTGTGTATGTACATTATGTATGTGCAAAACAAGACAAATTGGAAAATTAGGATGAACTGTTTTAAAAATGTAGAAAGTCGAAAGTGAACATGGAAAAGAGTAAGGTGATGAGGGTATCATGATTTAGATAAAGAAAAATTGGATATCAAATTGGAGAGAAGGAATATGGAAGAAGTGAATGTTTTCAGATATTTGGGAGTTGACGTGTTAGCGGATGGATTTATGAAGGATGAGGTTAACCATAGAATTGATGAAGGAAAAAAAGTGATTGGTGCATTGAGGTGTCTGTGGAGACAAAAAAAAAAACGTTATCTATGGAGGCAAAGGGAATGTATGAAGGTATAGTGGTACCAACACTCTTATATGGGTGTGAAGCTTGGGTCGTAAATGCTGCAGCGAGGAGGCGGTGGAAATGTCCTGTCTAAGGGCAATGTGTGGTGTGAATATTATGCAGAGAATTCAGAGTGTGGAAATTAGGAGGTGTAGAGTTAATAAAATTATTAGTCAGAGAAATGAAGAGGGGTTGTTGAGGCGGTTTGGTCGTTTAGAGACAATGGATCAAAGTAGAATGACATGGAGAGCATATAAATCTGTAGGGGAAGGAAGGCAGGGTAAGAGCCGTTCTCAAAAAGGTTGTAAGGAGTGGGTAAAGGACGTTTTGTGGGCGAGGGGCTTGGACTTCCAACAAGGGTGCATGAGCATATTAGATAGGAGTGAATGGAAACGAATGGTATTTGGGACCTGACAAGCTGTTGGAGTGTGAGCAGGGTAATATTTAATGAAGGGATTCGGGGAAACCAGTTATTTTATATTGCTGGACTTGAGTACTGGAAATGGGAAGTACAATGCCTGCACTTTAAAGGAGGATTTTTTGGGATATTGGCAGTTTGGAGGGTGCGAGACCAGGCCTCGTGATGGATCAGGGTCTGATCAACCAGGCTGTTACTGCTGGTCGCACACAAGCTGACGTACGAACCACAGCCCGGTTGGTCAGGTACTGACTTTAGGTGCCTCTCTAGTGCCTTCTTGAAGACAGCCAGAGGTCTATTGGTAATCCCCCATCATGTATGCTGGGAGGCAATTGAACAGTCTTGGGCCCCAGACACTTACTGTGTTGTCTCTCAGTGTACTCGTGGCGCCCCTGTTTTTCATCGGGGAAATGTTGCATCTCCTGCCGAGTCTTTTGCTTTCATATGGAGTGATTTTCATGTGCAGGTTCTGTACCAATCCCTCCAGGACCTTCGAAGTGTATATTATCATTTATCTCTTGCTTGCATTCGAGGGTCACCTTCCCTTAGTGGGAGACGGCCAGCATGTTAAAATAATTGAGGGTTTTATAACACACATGGAATAAGGGGTGTTCAGGTTCAGTCAAAGGGAAGGATAAGTGCAGTTCCTAGGATTAAGAGCCTCTTGCTGTAGGGATAAGAGAAGAGAAGGTTGACTAAAGGATGCCAGAAGTCTGTAGCCAGGGATTGAAGGGATGTAATACTAAAAATCAAATTAAGCACTAAACCTGAAACTGATGTAACAGAGGGCAATGATTGATGGTATTTACTACTTGGATGTCAAATATTATGACAGGGTAATAAACAATATTAAAAACTATATATCTGCTAGTCATGCTGCTATTTTAAGTTAAGACCATGGGTATCTTAGCGATCCTTTATTAATTAACCCGTCAAGGGAGGCACCTTGATGCTGATGAGGAAGCTCAATCGCTACTGCACTCAGCTCTCACACTGAGGTCCAGGGATCGATCCCCAGTACAGTTGGAAATGTTAGGACGTGCTTTCCTCTTCAAGGGGGGCTCCTTGGCGTGGTGAAGAGGCTCGTGGTCTGAGGAATTAGACCTGTCAGTCTACTTCCTCAGACCGAACCTAATTACCCCCCAATCCCCCGTTCCCTATCCCATCCTCCCCATCCTCCCCTTTTTCCTTTCCTCCTCCTCCTCCCCACCCCTCCCTTTTGCCCTTCCTTTTTTTTTTTTTTTTTTTTTTTTTCCACAGGCACGCTAGTTCCTAGGTAGGGGAAAGGGTACTGGGGTCCATCCCATTCCGTTGAGGTTCTTGGCGGTGGCGTAGTTTGCCGTGGAATCTGGATTGCCTGGGGATGTCCTGATCCCTCTCCGGTATCCCGGAGGGTGGCTTTGGGTGTCTCTCGGGCGACGGGTGTATCTCTGGAAGCCACCTTTCGGATTCCGGGGGTGGTGGCCGAAGGAGGTATGCTTTGTGGCGGATTTCCGGCCGCCCTCTCTTTTGTCCACCAAGGTAGCTCGGCAGATGTGAGGTTGCTATCCCGGATTGCCGGTTTACTGGCATGATGGGTAGGGTATGGCACGGGTTCAATGCTGCATCTGCGCTACTTGCTGTGCTGAGGTCCTCTTGGGCGCGGAGGGAGATTTTTGGCCCTTTCATTCCTCCTAGGAACTATCCCTCCCCGGTCCCCCCTTTTTTTATTCTTTTTTTTATTTTTATTTTCTTTTCTTCTTTCTTTTTTTTCTTAAAAACAAAAAGAAAGAAGTAACCTAACCATGGCAGCCCTAGTCCATGAACCTGCTACCCCCGGGCCCCTTCTTGATACCGCACCCAGTTCTGATCCCGCCTCGTCTTTGGACCGTCTTCGGACACTCCTCATGCCTCTGTACCTCTTGCTGGTGCTGTTTCCTCACCCGCTTCAGGTACTGAGGCCTCGACTGACTCCTTCGATTTATCTGACCTTCGCTCTCCTCTGACTATGCTTCCGGCCTCTCCCTCTACAGTGCGGCAATTTTCGAATCGCCGGCCCGTTCCACGTCGGACCAACTCTGGTCCCATGCATAAACGACAACGACAATTACCTGCTGATGATACTTCTCCACCTTCTCGTTCTTCTCAGAAAAGATCGACACGTTCTTCACTACCTTTCCACGCTCAGTTTCAGACTGCACAATGGACTAAATTCTTCACTTTACGACCGACTTCCTCTACTGCCTATCTTTCTGACTACAGTATTGGCAAGGCACTCCTACACCATGTTGGTAAAGATATTTCTTTTCATGCTCTTAAGAGCGGTACGCGCATCGTCACCGTACAGAATGCTACCCAGGCTCATGAGCTTTCTCGTCTTTCCCATATCGATACTGTTCCTGTAACTATTGAAAAGCATCATTCCCTCAATTCTTGTAGTGGTACCGTCATTCTGCCCCATACCATAGTTCAACAAAATTTCCAGACATGTGGCACTGGCATTCTTGAACAGCTGGAACTCCAAGATCTTCCAATCCTCAAGGTAGACACTTACGTTCTTCCTGCCCGTGGGCAGAGACGATACCCTAGCAATGTGGCTCGTTTAACTTTTGACAGCCGTGAACTCCCATCCTCAGTTTATGTAGCAGGACATCAGTTACAAGCTTGAAAGGTGATCCCTACACCGCAACAGTGTAGAAATTGCTGGCAATTTGGCCATCCAGCGAAATATTGCAGATCTATTGCCGAATGCCCAGTCTGTGGTGCCGATGACCATTCTAATACGTCTTGCAATCGACCTCCCTCTTGCCTTAATTGTCATGAGGCTCACCCTTCGTACTCTCGCCGTTGTCAAGTCTACTTAAACGAGCGGGAAATCCGTTACCTCAAAGAGGCAGAAGGTCTCCCTTATGCCATGGCAGTTTCTCATCTCCGCCTCCAAGGGAGACTACCTCGTGTTTCTTATTCCCGTGTTTCAAAACGTCCCCCCACTTCTGGTATCCCATCTTCTGCACCCACCTCTGTGGTTACCTCTCCCATAGTCACTCCTGTAGCTAATTCTTTTGCTGTCCTCGGCTCAGACGTCCTTACTTGAACGTCTCAGTCTGATCTTGCTTCTTCGTGTTCTCTCTCACAAGCCTCAGTAGCGACGAGATCTCGTATGACACCTCCCAATCGTCCCTCTACTTCTCAAAAGTCAAAAAAAGGTCCGTTAACACCTCCTACCCATCTTCCACCTCCTCATTTTCCCTCCCCTGTCTCTGTACCTGGTTCTCCCCCTCTCACTGGCTCTGTTACAAGTGTAGAGGTTCACCCTCCTCCTCGTACTGTACCTTCCTCCCCAAGTTTCTTCCTCTTCTGCCACCTCCCAGGTTTCTGCCTCTTCTGTCCCCTTCCATGCTTCTCCAGTTCCCTCCACCCTTTTGCCCCCCCCTACCTTGGTACAGTCCATTACAGTTCCAATCTTTACTCATCCTCCCCCTACCATTTCCAATATTGTCTCCCATACGACGTCTCTGAATTCTGAAACACTTGAAGCAATCTCTGAATATATTGCAGAGACCAAACCGTCAATGGACACTGATCCACCCTCCGCTCCTTCTCTCTCCTCTACTCCATCTGCGCAACTCCTTTCTTCACTGCACACCATTCCTTCGCTGCTTGAACGTTTTCCACTGCCTCCGCATGTGGACTTTTCTAACCCCTCTAGTCCGTAGGAACCCTTACCTGCGGATTTCAGGTATCTTTATCATTGCCAATCATGGCCTATTTGCAGTGGAATAACGCGGCCTCAGGGGTAATCGGGGTGAGCTTCAGATGTTACTCTCCCAGTTTTCCCCTGTTGGTGTTTGCTTACAGGAACCAAAATTACACTCTGCTGTTATCTCTCCCATCTCAGGCTATAATTTATTGTATTCTTCAGATCCTTTTCCTGATGGGACCTTTAATGAAAGTGCCCTTCTTCTACGCACTGATATTCCGTACCATCAGCTATTTGTTCGTACTTCGCTGCATTACACAGCAGCCCGTATCCACTTGCATAAGTGGTATACGTTCTGTTCTTTATATCTCTCTCCTTCTCGG